CTCCACTGTCGCTACAAGCATGCTTAGTGTGAGGGATTGAATTTGAGTCAATGAGTCGGTGAAATCAACTGGTTTTCCTTAGATAGAAAACTTTGAATCAATCTGACTGGATGATCTGGTGAACTGTAAAGTGCCTTGAGATGACGTGTTGTGAATTTGGCGCTATAGAAATAAACTGACATGAAATTGAATTGAAGTAGAAAGAACATCATTTAACCATAAACTGACCACAACCAGGTGCTCCTCACAAGATTTCTGACAGATCAGTAAAAAGAATGATCAGAAGAGTTGTGCAAAAGCCAAAAACAACTTGTGGAGAGCATCAGAAAGAACTGGAATTAGCAGGTATAACTGTTTCAAAGAAAACAATGAGTAATGCTCTCAATGGCGTGTATGCACGCTCACCACGCAACACTCCATTACTGAAAAAAAAAAGCGTGTTGAAGCTCGTTTAAAGTTTGTTGCACAACATTTAGAAAAGCCTGTGAAATACCCGGAGAATATAGTCTGGTCAGATAAGACCGAAATTGAACTGTTTGGATTCCATAATGCACACCATGTTTTGAAGTCAAATGGCAGTGCATGTCATCCAAAAAACACCATATCAATAGTGAAGTTTGGAGGTGGGAACATCATGGCGTTGGGCTGTTCCTCAGCATATGGTTCTTGCAAAGTTCAAATAATTATAGGAAGGAGAAATCCTTTCTACAACTCTGCTGCCATAAGCTAGGATGATGAAGATGAAATGTGGGTGAACATTTCAGCAAGACCATGACCCCAAACACGAAGCCAAGGAAGGTCTAAATTGGTTTTAGAGAAATAAAATAAAGCTGCTTGAATGGCCCAGCCAATCACCTGACTTGAATCCCATAGAAAATCTATGGAAAGAACTAAAGATCAGAGTTCATAGAAGATGCCCAAACGAAACCTTCAAGATTTGAAGACTTTTGAAGTTTGAAGTTTTAAAGTTTGTGAGGAAGGATGGGCCAAAATCAAACCTGAGCAATGCATGCGACTAATTTCTCCCATACTGGAAGCGTCTTGAAGCTGTCAACAAAGGCTATTGTAGAAAGTATTAAATACATTTCAGTCAGTGTGTTCAATACTCTTTCCCTGTGTCATTACACATAACTTAATTTCTGGACATCTATGATTTGATATCTTTATTTCTTTTATCTATAGAAATATTTACTGAGAAAAATGGTGGCATGTTCAAAACTTAGTTTACCTGTTTTACTAGCAATAAGTTGGCAACCAAGTTTGTTTCCGGATTGATTTAAAATAAATGTATATGCTTTTGAAAGTGCTCATTGCCTCTCTACACCGTATCTAACAGACCTGTTTCATCTCTCCCCCTGGGCCTCCTCCCGGTGGGACATGCCTGGAACACCTCACCAGGGAGACGTCCAGGAAGCATCCTAATCAGATGCCCGAGCCACCTCAACTGGCTCCTCACGCTGTGGAGGAGAGGCTCTACTCCTCCCCGGATGACTGAGCTCCTCACCCTATCTCTAAAGGAGAGCCCAGACACACTACAGAGAAAACTTATTTCAGCCGCTTGTATCCGGGACCTCATTGTTTCATCATACGTTCCTACCCTCATCATAGATGAGGGTTGGAACGTAGATCGGCCGGTAAATCGAGAGCTTTGCTTTTTGGCTTAGCTCTCTCTTCACCACGACAGACCGGTACAGTGCATGCTTCACAGCAGAGACTGCACCAAATCGCCTGTCGATCCCACGCTCCATCTTCCCCTCATTCGTGAACAAGACCCCAAGATACTTAAACTCCTCCACTATGGGGAGTACATCCTCCCCAACCTGGAGAAGGCACTCTACCCTTTTCCGGCTCAAGACCATGGTCTCAGACATCCCGGCCGCTTCACACTCTGCTGCGGACCGCTCTAGTGAGAGCTGTAGATCACGCCCTGATGAAGCCAACAGAACCAAATAATCTGTAAATAACAGAGATGCAATCCTAAGGACACCAAAACAGATTCCCTCAACACCTTGGCTGCGCCTAGAAATTCTATCCATAAAAGTTATGAACAGAATTGGTGACACTTAACTTTGGCGGAGTCCAACGACCAACCGGAAACGAGTCCGACTTACTGTCGGTAATGTGGACCAGGCTCTGACACTGGTCATACAGAGACCTAACTGCCCCTTTTAAAGAACCCGGTACTCCATACTCCCGGAGTACCCCCCACAGGACCCCCCGAGGGACACGGTTGAATGCCTTCTCCAGATCCACAAAACACATGTAGACTGGTTGGGCAAACTCCCATACACCCTCCAGAATCCTGATGAGGGTGTAGAGCTGATCCAGTGTTCCACGGCCAGGACAAAAACGACACTGCTCCTCCTGAATCCGAGATTCGACTAACCGACAGACCCTCCTTTCCAGAATCCCGGAATACACCTTAACAGGGAGGCTTAACAACTCTGTAGTTGTAACACACCCTCCCGCCCCCTTTTTTAAATATAGGGACCACCACCCCAGTCTGCCAGTCCAAGGGAACTGCCCCTGACGTCCATGCAATGTTGCAGAGCCACGTTAACCAACACAGCCCCACAACATCCAGAGCCCTAAGATACTCAGGGCGAATCTCATCCACCCCTAAAGCCTTGCCACCAAGGAGCTTTTTAACCACTTCAGTGACTTCAGCAACAGAGATGGGAGGACTCAAGCCGGAGCGCCCAGGCTCTGCTTCCTCAATGGAAGACGTGTTGGTGGGATTAAGGAGTTCTTTGAAGTACTCCACCCACTGACATACGATGTCCCGAATCGAGGTCAGCAGCACACCACCCCCACTATAAATAGTGTTGGTACTGCAGTGCTTCCCCCTCCTGATACGCCGGATTGAGTTTTTCAATAACTTTTTTTTTAGTTTTTTCTATTTATGAAGTCATTAAGCAAAGCATCTGTATGATAGCATGTACAGAGCAATGCATTTTTATAATAAATATCAAACTATTACCATAAATGATGATGAAAACATTGTTTTCAGCAAGGTTTGGATATTTATTATATTGCAAAATATCATGATACAGTCACAAAACATCATTCATCAGAACATATTACTATCAACTCCCACAGTTATGCACCAGTGGATCACTAGAGAGCTGTTGATAACACGTTGTGAATTGCAGTTTATAAATAAACTAAATTGAATTGAATACAGAGGATTCATGTTTTTTGCACAGAAGTCTAGATTCATGCATATCACCCATGTTAAGATGTTTATGTGATATAATGATCGCCAAATCTACAACAACTGCAATATGAAGTATAATCACAGGAGAATTTAGTTTTATCATCAGCTTTAAAAGTAGGTAAATGTAGTTTTAATTGGAGGGAATGCCTCCCACTTAACTTTTTGAGGGCTTGTCCAGGATAATTGCACTATGTTTGAGTGGCAAAAAACCTACCAAATAAAGTTATCCATGATGATTGGCGGGATATTAAACAACTTACCCAAAAAGATAAGAATGGTTATATATATATATATATACACACATACATATAATCCTTTTTTATTTTTTAAGTAACAGGGGGTGAGCATTTCTCACCGTCTCTGTAGAAGGACTCCTCCAATGGTTTTGGGTGCATCAATGTGAAGGGCAGCTCAACAAAGACGTCACTGAAAAACAGATCATACGTATTGCATTGTATTGCAGCTTAAAAACATTTTGTTCTGATTAAAACTAGATTAATTAAATTGATTTATTAAAGATATACATGTCTATAAAATTAAGAGAAATATGCATTTAGATGTTCAGATGACCTTCTGTAACATTAGGGTGTTTTCATCTGTGAGAGTGAAAGGTTACCTGGAAGCCAGATCTCCAAGAAGCCTGAAATCAATAAATATTTAACAGTTTTTAGAGGAGCAGCCTATCATTTCCAGCATTTTAAACACATGCAGTCGTTTCTCTCAAGGTCGTTTGTTATAAACATCATACTAATGCAGCATGTCACAGGTGTAACACATGTAATTTGTCACACCTAAATTTATTACTCTGTATGTATGAACTGGTTAAAAGTATAAATTCTTATTTATTAGGAATATGTATTTTTTACCTTGAGACGAAGAAAGAAACTGTATTCATACAAAATAACAATATAAGTTATAACAGAGGAAGTTTTAAGCTTTGCTATAAGTAAATTTTTCCATTTGGAAAAAAACATTTTTTACCATTACAAACAAATTTACTTTGGAATAAAGTAGTGACAAAAATTTTATATTGTATTTATCAAAGATGGGTCCAATTATATTTATTGACCACAGACACAGGGTATATTCTTCTTGATCACTTAGAATCGGCTCCATATGCTAAACTTCACTTAAAGACTACAATGCCTGCTCGTCATAAACATAATTTCTATTCTGAAACTGAGTAGAGTGCATTGTTGTTGTTGAAGTGGGACAAAATCTAATTATAAGTTTATCAACTGACATGGACATTTTACTTCTTCCAGTATACTTTGTGCAGCTGATTCTTTTTCTATGGAGGGCTTGAACATATTGGATATTTAAGTGATATCAAAAGTGATACATTTCTACTAAACAGATCAAGAACAGAAATTCCAAGGTTTTAGCCAAGGCTTTGGATCCTCAGTCCTTTTGTTATACATCGAAATATTTTTGTTTGGTCATTTTTACAGTTTCTACTGAAATAATTGAATAAAATTGTTTTTGTTATAGCTTGCAAATTAATACAACAGTAAAAATGTGACTATTAAACTTGCACAATTAGTGTGGTCTTTTCTCTGGAGTTCTTGTCTAATCAATCCTGTACTAATTTTTGGCGTCATATTAATACAGTTTATCATTCTACTATTTATAATGGATTTACAGAGGGCATAAAAGTAATGGGGATTTTTAGCTCAATAGCCTTTATTTGGTCTAAATAGCAAAATATTTCGCTTGAAGAGACCACTAATCGAAACTTACTATTTGACTTGCATCCACTGAGATTTGTGCATGATAATGCAATGATTGTAAATAATGTGTGAATCATTTTATGAAAATATGCAAAAATGTAAGACAAATGTCTTGTAAGACTTTCCAGCTTTGTGTTTCATTGGATTTTTTTCAAAAGTTTCATCTTTATTGTTTTTGTCTAATTCATTTCTGGGATGATTGCTGTCAGGTTTCCTCAACTTATTTGGAGTTTTGACCTGGAGAGTCAAAGTCTGCTGTACAATTCACAGTAGAAAACAGAGATGAAGACCTAAATCCTGACTCTGACCCAAAGACGGTTCAATTTAAATACCTACTGTCTAGAGGCTACTGATGAAAAATAGCATTTTAACTAATTTAAAAGCATCAACGATAGTGTTGATACCCACCCGCCTCGCGACACAACAAGCTTCACTTTGACTTTGTAGGACACGATGATGCCAAGAATCTCCTTGTTGGCTCCTTCTCTCAGGCTTCATAGGAAAGGAAAGAAATTGTCAGACATCAACATCATCTTTAACTAAAAAATAAGTCATTACAAGTGTGACAGGACCCACAGAGTGCTGGATGCCAGATTGGTGTCTTCATGCTTCAGCTTTCCATCCAGAGCAAGACCACGTTTTTCCCGATTGTTGGCCAGGAACGGAGTGAGAGTAAACACCTTGCAGAAAGTTGAGCTGGGAGCCACAACATCACTGATGATGAAAGGACAATTTTCAGGTTATATATAAATGATTCAACAGCTTTAGATGTTCCTTTCAGGTTAATTGAAAGTTCAGCATGTGCATAGGCCAAGTGTAGTTGTAAGATAATCATCTTACAGTATGGGGGAACACAAGGAAATGCTGAATGTATGCAGGATCATCAGGCACATTTTAACAGCTTGTGGAAGACAGCAGGGTCCATTTTAAAGGGAGTGGGTTCCTTTGCCTTTTTTAATGATTTATATCATCATACTGAATCCACACCTCTGTCCTGCTATTATTTAATACTCTAAAACAATCCATTTTTATAATCATTAACCGTTTATTCTTTCACTCTAGAAAAATATTTTCAAATAGAATATTTAAAAAATGATTTTAAAAAATGCTAAAATTTAAATCAATTTCAAATTCAATATATATTACAAACTTAAAACTTTCCTTTTACCTAATATTTCTATGTATTGGTTCTGGTCCCTGTTTGAATTAATTCTTGACAGTACAGTAGATATTATTATTCATAATATATTTCCTTAAAATATAAGAAATATATAGAAAACTACTTTCAATCATTAGTAGTCAAATCAGGTCGGAAACATCCCCTGATATGTATGAACTGATGCACAGTCAACATAAAGAAGCACCATTTCATATCCAAGGATGAAATTTCTCAAATTACTGCAGTAGAAAAACACAAAGGGGAAACAAAGATAATGATACAATGGTGCTGGTGGAGGAAAATGCTCTCAAGATGAAACAAGTAATAACAGGTTTAAAATAACCTTCCTTACAAAAAATCTCCATAGATAAAAAGAGTGAAGCAAGGAATGTAGATTAAGCTCTTGTTTTGACTACGTTTAGTTGGTTCTGGTGTTGCCATCAACATAAGTAAATCTGTTTACCATAGCGAGATGAATCTAAAAGCTGAAGTGTTTCAGGCATCAGTTTCCTCTAAAACTATAGGTTATGGTGAATCTGTTTCTCTCTTTCTGCTCACTAGTTCGACCCTATATTATAGATTCAACTCAGCTTCATAATACAGTAACTGTCATAGAGACCATCCATCTTGAAATTAAAATAACTTTGATTAGAGCAATCACCAAATCTTTAGTATCTTCATGAGCATTTGATGTTAATTCATCTGTACACAGTGACTAAATATTCCTGAAAACTAGGCCCTAATTTATCCATCCATCCATCCATCCATCCATCCATCCATCCATCCATCCATCCATCCATCCATCCATCCATCCTGATCAGATTCCCTGGGGCACATTAACTGAGCTCATATCTCATAACTGTTAAATGACAGAATGTAGTCAGATCAATAAACTGAGAGCTTCTCACTTCACTTCAGATCTTTATTCACTATATCCCACCAGAGCAGCATAAAATTCACTGAAGATAAACTCATGAACTTATTCCCTTGCAAACCCATTACTCCCTATCTTCATATTACATTTTTTTTCTTTCAAATTGGCATTAAATATGACATATGAAGCCTCAGGAAGATTCCTACTCGAACAATGTCTCCGGTATGAAATATTTTGCATGAAGACGGATTGTTTGATGCTTAGATTCTTGTTACTGTTTATTTCTGATTAAAACAGTGATGTTGCAGGCTCCCGCTGCTCACATATATGGTGGGAATCACCATAGTAACTAGTCACTGAAGGATTTCGTAGTCTTTAGTTACCATGGTGAGTTTCTGATTACTTACAGAGCAAAGGAGTTAGATGGAGGCAGTTACTCCATTGGCTCCTAATTAAACATTTCAGTTCTTCCACCCTGACATTATATTAAACATATACGTTACATCTTTGTTTTGCTAACCTAATATAGTTAATAACAGCATGGTACCAGAAGGAAGTGATCAGTTTTTAATGCAGCAATTGGCAGGTTTTTTTTGGTTGTTTGTTTGTTTGTGCTTGCTTGACTTAGCACTGAGGAATTACTTATGGAGAGAAAATTTGTTCAGAAATCTTTGAGGTAAGAAGAAAGTTTTAGTTTGTTTAGAGTGTGGTGAATGAAAGAGGCTCACTCAGACTCTTCGACGGCTACTGGACATTTGTACTGTGCCGTGTTGAACAAGCAGATGTCTGCGAACTGCCGCACTGCAGAAACAGAAACAAGAATTAGATGAACCCACATGGTGGCTGCAAAAATCATTGGCTCAGTCCAAATACAGCAAATTATAGCCTTTAGCTTATTCCTCCACCTTAAATGGGGCAAACTTGAAGAACTCTAGTATAGGTAGAACTACTGTGTTGAATCACCATTGTGTAATGGAAATGCACATTTACCTAAATTCAATTCAAAAAATGTATTTTATAATCCCAAAGGGAAATTAAGTATTCTAATAAAGTAATTTGCTCTGACTGATGATTCCAGACGAGATCGTACACTCCACAGCAAATAATGGATTTAACAGCATCTCGCTGCAAACACTGTAGGACCAAACCCCTTATAAGAAGTACAGACTGCTCTATCCTTTTTTGTAGAGAATCTCACAGTTGCTTCCATAGTGGAGTCTCTTGTCCAGGCGAACACCAAGCTATTTAAACTCCTACACCAACACAGTTTCTTCTACAATAATGTTAATAGCATTTGACTTGGTACTTTTTCTTCTGAAATCTACAGTCATCTCAATCTTTTTTTTATATGGATCAGGTTTTTTTTTCCAACACTGAGGACTGTCTTTTACAGGAAGTCAGCAGTGTACAGAATAAAATGAATGGAGAGAGAAATGTCCCTGCGGTGCTACTGTGTTGCTGAAAACTTGATCTTGACCCTTCAGTCTTACAGACTGTGGTTTGTCAGTATTCAGGTGATTGTTGATGCTTTCCCCTGAGTCTTCTGGAGTTTTGATTGTGTTAAAAGCACTGGAGATTTCAAGGGATGTTATCCTAACTGTACTTTCTGCCTTGTCAAAATGGCAGTGGATTTTTTTAAGGCAGGTGTATTATAGCGTTTCAACTTCATGCCAATAAGCAAATTGCAGGGGGTCTTGACAGCTGCTTCTTTGCTTGCTGGGGTGAACCACACGAGTCTCTCTAGGATCTTCATTATGTGTGATGTCTGGGCTACAAGTCTACAGTGAGAGGACTGTTTAAGCCGGGCATACACTGTGTGATATTTCCAATGGTTGCACCCAGCTACAGCTCAAATTGTGCAATGAAATCGCATGTTTAAAAATTCACAGCTCACGATGCATGTTCTGACACTGTGCGGCCTGATGCTCTGATGCGATCTTACAACGGCCATCCGAATTTCAAACATGTTTGATTTTCTCCCGACCTCATGGTTCCTGATCGGGAGGCGGTCGTGAGAGGCTAATCTTCCCTTGTTACCCCCTGTATACTACACGACACACAATGAAGCTCAAACTCAGCCTGACTAGAGAACTGGCCCGAAAAGGGCAAAAAAATCATACAGTGTATGCCCGGTTACCTAGGGATATTTGGTACTGGAACAAGGCAGGAGGTCTTCCACATAAATAGAATTGTCTCTTGGTTCAGGTTAAGGTTGAAGAGGTGTTGTAGAATCCCACAGACTGTCTCTGCACCAGATGGATCTATGACTTATTGTGATTAACCCTCTCCAGTTCCCTTTTCACTTGACTTCATGAGACAGGCAGTTCAAACGCGTGTGGAGCAGCACTATTTTCTGATTTGGTTGAGAACAACTGCATAGAAGCAGGAACATCCATGGCAGAGTTGAAAGATGAAACATTGTAAGAGGGTGTAACAGGGAAAATTTGGTTCAAGGGACAGTGGGATGTTTGTTTGACGTGGGCAGGAGAAAGATATTGTACTTCTTCCTGAACTGCCATTCCCTCCTTACTTGCAGCACTATTCATACAGCACTTATAATGGCAACCCCTGACACATTTCTGTTTTGGCTTGAGAGTCCTAAAGAATTTGCTGTATTTGGATTGAGTCATATAAAACAGCTGGGAGACTTACCTGCGATTTTCATCTTCTTCACTGTCTTATTGGTGTTGTTGGTGACATGAACATTGACACTGATGGGCTCCCCGTGGTAATAAATCTGAGACAAAACACACATAGAACAGCAGAACTTTTTATTAACAACATTTGGACTGTCCAGTTTGGGAAGGAAAACTGTTGTGGATCAAAAGTCTATGACGTAACAAGCCCCCCTGCCAAGGTCATACCCTTTAAAACCACTGGACAACCCTTTTCTTGCCCATTATACCCAGGGTTGCCGTCTGAAAGGGAGAAACACCTTCTTTAGCTGAAGCTGTGACAGGTGCTCACATTCCTCTGGAAAGTTGTGTTTCATATTTAAAACCTTGGGCAATGTGTTAGAATATATATCTGCATGTGTTTTTATCTGAACGAGGCTCCTCAATTTTAAATGCTTATGGTTTCATGTCATAAGAGTCTGAACAGAATGCTGTTTCACAAAGTGTGAGTGTGAATCAGTGTGCTCGGCACTGTGCGTGTCTGAGCAATCAGCGCTGAGTGGCTTCCCTCTCTTTCTCTTTTATCTAATCTTTGTCCACTTTGTCCAAAGAGTTGATGTGAAAAGGTTTGAGTGACTAGCTTCAGGCCACCTCACTTTCGGCTACATGTAGGCTTGGAGGCGACCATCTTTCTACAAGCATTTTATGAAACTTTGTTCTAGTGATGGCCACAAGTTAGCTGGGGTGCCCGCCTTGCGGCTTGGCCTCTTGCTGCAGTCAGAACCAGTCCATGTTGCATCCAGTGCTGCTATGTTTAATGCATTGTGATTATTGTTCATTGTTCACTGTAAAAACGAATTAAGTTTTATTCATTTCCACCTAAAAGCTGTGCATCAGTTTTTTTTTCCTTTTTTTTTGCTGTTATTTCTAAAAGGACATTCCTAAATGCAATCGATCCATTACGCCATAAAACCTGGACCTCTTCAGAGACTCTTTCAACTGACACCTTTTATTTACCTTGTGTTAATTAATTGAACAGCTATCATGTTCATATACTTTGTTAAACTGAGTGATGCTTTAATAAATTGTGAAGTTCAACAGAACAGATTGATGAGTTCCTTCCTTAACTCATCTCTCTATTTCCTTATCCGCCCCTTTGGGAGCAGAGCTTTCCCTCGCCAATCCCCCCAAACTCTGGAATTCTCTCCCATCTGACTTCCATAACATTGATAATCAGCATCTGTTTAATCCAAACTCAAAACACACCTTTTCAAGACAGCTTTATCTTTCTGATTTTAAACTTTTATTTAAGATGTTTTACTTTTTTATTGTTGATTTTTTTTTTGTAAATTGACTGTTTTGAAAGGCGCTTCTAAATAAAATATATAATAATAATAATAATAATAATAATAATAATAATAATAATTATTATTATTATTATTATTATTATTATAATTATAATTATAATTATAATAATAATTATAATTATAATTATAATTATAATAATAATTATAATTATAATTATAATTATAATAATGCTTTAATGAATATTAACTGTTGTGATTTTTTATAACAGTGATCGATTGAAAAAAAAAACAGTTAATTTTTTTATTGGTTGATGTTTATTGACTCTGCTAAAAACCATAGTCCAAATTATTAAATTTAATGGTGGAGGAGACAAAAGAGGAGTTTTTTACAGCCAGTCCAGGATAATCTTACTAGTAAGATGACTAATGAACCTTTATGAGTAAGTATATTGTAGTTATAATCATTTAAATAAATTATTTGGTTTTACCATTGATTTGAATGACATACTAATAAACTAGAACTTCTAGTTCAAGTTATTTATTCATTTCTATTCAAATATTCATAATCTGCTGGTAAAATTGCACGAACCAACATAAGTTTTCTTTCTGGACAAACTGAACATTTAGAACCTTGAAGGTTTACAGTTAACCTGCCATAAATCAGATTGATAGGTGTAGTTTTATTTGAATTCTATACAGTATGAATCTGAAAAGCCTCCAGTTGAAAGTGTTCACAAAAGCGATGGACATTCAGAACAATTTTTCAAGTTGAATGGGCAAGTCATCAAGTGGCACCTCCCATGTTGAGGTTTTAGCCAATCACAGCAGCAAAATCAGCTGCGATATATGACACACTTGATTCCTTTTACTACTAGCAGAGTAAACTGATTGATCAAACTCTCACCAAATCTGTTCACAGATTTGGTGAGAGTTTGATTTATTTGGTGAACAGATTTCTATTTTCTGTCTGTGTGTTTGTGTTCTGTGTTTGTCTCCCTTCCTCCACCAGGAGGCACCTGGTTCTGGTCCGCCTCCTCACACACCTGCTGATGGTTTCCTTGTTAATGGAGTGTTCTTAAGCTGCTGACTGCCACTACCTCGACGCAAGAGTGTTTGCCAGTTTTGGGTGCTCTAGCCAAGCTGAGTTTTGCTGAGTCAAACTGAGTCCTTGTCAACCTGAGTTTCAACATTGTTTTTGTCTTTGCCTCTCGGCAGGAAGTCATCCTGCAAACTGGATTTTTCTGACCTTCTCTTCCTGGATGGATCAACAGAGCTTCAAGCTGAGTTGGGGTTGCAAACTGGAGATTTGGACCCACTTTCCCCAAGAGATCGTTTGAGCTTCACACTGAGAAAGGGATTCGTCTCCACTACGACCCGTTCAAGTACCGCAGGAAATCTGAGTGGCAGTCAGCTTCTCCGTTCACCTACAAACAACTGCATTCTGGGTAAACCCTGTTCCACCGTCCAACGAATCAGACAAACACTGGAACAACAGCATACAGACTGGAGTCAAAGATTCAACAACTTCTCTGGATATGTGAGTCAGCAACCAGAACCTCTTCTCCAAGATCACAAATCAAATTTCCCACTGAGCCTGAACTACTCGCTGTGTCTTCCCCTCACTTTTCAGTTCCGGTTGAGCAGTGTTCAGAGCACTACTTCTCTCTGCATTATCTCTTCAATAAAACCTGTTAAACCTTTTCTCCTGGTCTCCCTGTTTGGTCTTCAGCATTTGGGTCTGAACTTTAGTAAAATCATGACATTTTCAGAAAGGAAACAAAGTTATTCCAGCTAAAACCAGTGCAGCATGTCCTTCCATGTCACTGCATCCTATGATCCTACTGGCTTCTCGCAAAATGTATTGAATCCCACAAAAATTCATCCTCCTTGCAAGGTAAGGGTGCCTCTAATAAACATACAAACTTTATATAAAATGTTTTCCTGGATGGAAGCCTGTGTTCCAACTCTGGCTCAAATTTGTCAAAGCAAAGCTAAAAGAACATAAGTGTAGCCTAAAAATCCATCACATTTGAAGGCAGTTTTTACCTCCTTATCCAGTGAGGCTTCCAGGTGCAGAGGTTTATCCGACATCAGGAACTGTCTGGTGGTCTCGGCTGTTGGCTGAGGACCGGGTTTCTCTGGAGCATACTGCACCTTCCTGATCACCAGGCGCACTGAATTCCTGAAACAGCGAGACCTTACAATCGGCTTGCAGGATATGTAAATATCTGAAATCTAAGCAGTATCTACTGTATACCCAGATCAAAGCAGTCAGGAATCCTTATTTCTCCCTCACTGGGGATTATAGTGCAGCTCACTGAGTTTTACCTTTTGTGGATCTTCTCCTCAATATTCTCTGCACAGAAAGCTTTCACCTCAAAGTCCACTCCGCAGGCCTGAGGGCAGGAACATGATCATAAGTTGGTATGAATTGGAGTCTTTCAGAAATGACAGAAGACAGAAGATCCAACATAAGTGAAGATACCTTCCCTGTGTCTTCCGGTCCCGGCTGCAGGGTGACGGAGCATGGCAGGTTCAGAGGGATCTATAAGTATATCAGTTAAAAATGTAAAGGTCACTTAGAATAGGCTTGTGCTTTTCTGCAAGAATGCTGAACTACTGTTATATTTTATGGTGACTGCAAACAAACCAATATAAAGGATTATTTTTTGGACGTGAGACTTTGAGCCAGATTTCACATGCTTACATTTTTTGCTGCCTTGTTTTCAGCTGGTGCAGGAGTGTGTGTTACTATTACGGAAAGACATAAATGTGGGGAAGAAAGAAACAATTTTGTCCACTACAATATCATTTTTTTTTTTAGTTTAAGCAAGATTCTGGCTGGCTAAATCTAAAAGCAGTTTGTGAACAAACACTAAATATCAACACTGAAACTGGACTAACATGGAAAAGAGGAATTCATGACAAAATTTTCACTAAAATCAATTTACATTTTAGTCAGAGGACTATAGGCTTACACTTATTTATATGATGTCCAAATTGACAATTTCTAAATATCATTTTTAATTAAGATATGTTTAATGAAAGTATAATAATAATAATTGAACATCATTGATCCCACAATGGAGAGAATCTGGCTCATGACGAATCCCCTTTGGGGAGCGGTGAGCTGCCACTCTGCAGTACAGTCTGGGTTTAAGGGTCTTGCTCAGGGACCCAGAGAGCAGGCTGTACAGATCCAACCAGGTACTTGCAACCTTCTCAGAGCACAAGCACACTGCTCTATCCACTAGGCCACCACACATAATGTGTATGATGAAAAAATTGACAATTTACTTAATATTTGCGTTAACTTTATTAGCAATCCCCTCCCATTCTCTTTCACCGGTTTATTAATGGAAACAGTGTTTCTTTTCTTTTTATTTGTTGTCGGAATTCCTGATAGTCTTCCAGCAGAAGTTGCAGTAGGAAAATATGGTACAGGTTCACGTTTCACCACGGTTTTTTCATTGTTCTCAGTGATTAACTGCATGGTCTAATGCAGTCTAATGCATGGTCTAATGCTCACATCAACACTGAGTTAAACCTGTCATGCATTAGTCACAGTAAGCAAATAAGGTGTCCTTTTGTTGAAACCCAGTCATATTGTGCCTAGGTTGAGTCAAAATAGGGCCCCTCTGGACAGTTAAACCTGGATACAATTTCGGGCTGGGTGTATTTCATTCAGAGCTACAAATATTTTCCCTAGGCAGTCTAAACAGGTTATTAAGCCGTGCATCATCATCATCATCTTTTAACAGCAGGGCAGTATTATCTTTGGAAATGTGATACCACTGGAGATTTCCTCTAGCAGTGCAATAGCTGCTTCAGTACCGCAAACAATGAGGATGTGTGACTCTTTTGATTTTATGTCCACAAAATAATCTCCACACCAGACCTATTAGGGTCACTTTTTCATTTTTAATGAGAATGAAAGCATCCATTATCCTCCTCAGCACCATTTTCAATTACATGTGAAGAATACAGGGAAAGATTGTAAGTTGATATCTGAATATCTTTTCTCCAGTTTCTTTAGGGCGTGCCACATTAATGTATCAATCTGTAGGTTGTTTGGTTTCATTCTTTATGAACAAAACCTTTTAAAAGAGCTAAATGGAGTCACTTTCCGTGTTCTTAACTAGGTTTTATTACTAGTTAGTTTATATAGTTTAGTATTGTTAATAGTTTGTTATTGTTGATAAAAAAATTTTTGCCAAGTGCCGCAATAACTCATGTCAAGTCAAGATTTTGCTTAGATTTTTTTACTTTTTTGCATTCTTGTGCTGAACATTGTAATCCAGGGTTTGCTGTGCCTACTGTACACCCGTTTTTAGGGCGACTTATTCAAAACCAGATTGGAGATTTATTAAAAACAACAAAGTCAAGAATCAAAAGCCTTAGACTCTTCTGCTTTCTTTGCTTAGATTCCAACAGGGTAAATAAAGTACTTTCGTTTAGCTACATTAGTTAAAAGCAAGAAAGAAAAATACTACTGAATACAGAAGCCTTAAATACCCAAGCTCCATTTGATATCAGAGATCTGATTGTTCCTTATGTTCCTAACAGAGCACTTCGCTCTCAATCTGCAGGTTTACTAGTGGTTCCCAGAATTTCTAAAAGTAGAATGGGAGGCAGATCTTTTAGTTATCAGGCTCCTCTCCTGTGGAACCAACTACCAGTTTTAGTCTGTGAGGCAGACACCCTGTCTACCTTTAAGGCTAGGCTTAAAACTTTCCTGTTTGATAAAGCTTATAGTTAGAGTGGCTCAGGTTATCCTGAGCTATCTCTATAGTTATGCTGCTATAGGCTTAGACTTCTGGAGGACATAGGGACCCCTATGTCATCATTCTGCTTCATTCTATCTCTATTCTCCCACTCTGCAGAATCTGTTAGTTCAATCTCTAACGTTCTGCTCTCTCTGCTTTTTCTCATAGTAGCTTCATCTGGTCTGTTCCTCCATCCTGGAGAGAAACATCAGCTGTGCTGCTGCCATCAACACCTTTGTTTATAGATGTTGGAGACCGGCCTTTTTTTTTCACTGTAGTCCTGTTTCTCTGACTGTGACTGGCTGGATCTGCTCTCTTCATCCTCTGACATGGGAGCTGGCTCAGAGCTTGTCTGCCTGGCTGCGTGTTTCCTGGACGGGGTCGGCTTTTGCAGCTGCTTTTTTTATCTCTGCTTCTGTCACCTTGAACCCCAGTCGGCCTCAGCAGATGGCCGCTCACACTGAGCCTGGTTCTGCTGGAGGTTTCTTCCTGTTTAAAGAGAGTTTTTCCTCTCCACTGTCGCTACAAGCATGCTTAGAGTGAGGGATTGCCTCCGTGTCAATAAGTCAATGCAATCAACTGGTTTTCCTTAGATAGAAAACTGTGAATCTATTTGACTGTATGATCTGGTGAACTGTGAAGTGCCTTGAGATAAATAAACTGAATCGAACTGAATTGAATTAAAGAGTCAAGTTACAGTTTAGTCTCCATACCTCAAAGGTGAACGGGTAGGCGTGTTCTCCCAGTTTTTTAATCAGGCGTTCTTGAAGACGAGTCAGACTCTTCTTCTCCTCAGGTACTGGAGGAAATGCCTGGATATTCGCCACAAACAGGTCCTTCCTAAACGTTAATCCAAGGACGTCCAAATCCTCCCGACCATATCGGAATGCACAGGTCAGAGTGACAAACACTGATAGAAAACAGAAATCAATTCATGTTAGAGTACTAATGTTCCCTGAAGCTAAAGCTGCTGACTTCGGATTCAGGCATGCTACTTTTCATTCTTTAAAATTTTCAGCATCTCCAGGAGTCTTCCCTGAGGTACACCACTAAATTACACAACAGACCGCTGCCTCAACTAGAATACTAGAAATCCATTTGTTAGGATTCTTACCTTTCCTCTCTTTCAGGTATTCTGGGTCGATCAAAACAACACCGTCTGTAAGAAGACATGAACAGAGAGTGAACAAAGCCTGATGGATGGGTCTAAAACATAACTTAAAGTAAAACCTCCTCTCACCAACAGGCTCTACAAGGTCCACATGGTCCACAAAGTCTCTCTTTCCCAGGTAGACTGTGAGCTGTTGGACAAACACAACAGAATCAGACTCAGAATCAGATTCTTTAAAAAAAAAAAGTCTTTGCTTGGCAGATCTCTTTTTGGGTGGGGGGGGGGGGGTGGCAATGGTAATTCTAATTCATTACTAATTAATTATTGGTAATTACCTTCACACTTGCACACTAAGTCAATCTTCCTGGAATAAGTGCATTTTCCATTGTCTGATTTGAAAATTCATCAGTGGAATAAGATTTTATAAAATTAACTCCTACGCTGCATGACACCAAAATATTTTAATTCAAGGGTAGGAATACACATTTGTTTGGCAGATAATCTGATTAACCTGCTCAAATTATGACAAATACACTTTTTAAAGAAATCATGACTTATTTTTAGAACTGTTTTTTTTTATGTGCATTTGGGACCCTAATGTGCTGCAAATGGGCTATGAAAAGAACAAAAGAGGACTGTTTATGGTTTACGTTTCAAAGCGAACAACAAATAACAAATATTGAAGAAAAAAAAAGGAAAAGATCGGGTGCTTAATTACATGAAAAGTATTTTGAAAAAAATACTTTGGCAATAAAATTCGAAAGCCACATAAGACCTGCAAGGGGCACAAAACTGTTTTTGGTTGGAAGTTGGAATTTCTTCTTTAGTCTCTTTGTTAGTCTTTATGACGCTGAGGTAAACATGGCAAATGTATGAGGCAAAAAGACTCAATTTTCACAAATAGATATGTGATTCACAAATGCACGTGTGGGGTCTCATACAAGAACTGTTCTTACAAACAAGATCATTCTTAAGTTGTTCGTATGAGTGATTTAGGAGCAAACATAACTCCTATTTCTAATCTTCTCTCAAGTACAAAAAAAAATTGCAAACGCTTCAGACTTGTCGTGGGAGTCTTGCACAATTAGTAAGCTGTTATCAAAGCCAAGTTTTTCACTTAGGCTAAGTTCAGACCGCACGCGATAGAAGCAGCAGGAAATATTCTGCTGCTTAATTTTTGATGCTTGTACACATCAATGTCCGACACGCTCCTGAAGCACGTCCAGTAAAGTGTGTAAAGATGCGTCTGATGCTTCAGCTGCTCCTGCGTTCAACGGCAAAGAGCAGCTTTGCTATTTTTCCTGCTATAAATGGGTAAAACGCAGTTTTAAAATGTTTTTAAGTGAGAAAGTCCATCTCAAAACTTCATCTGTGCAGTCAGTTCATCAAGATTACAATCCTGCCTTAAATTAGTATTTCCCTGTTGAACCAGGACAAAACCTCTGTACACCGCCAGAGCTCTGTCACTGGAAATCTGTAGCAACAGAAACCTCTGGCTCGGTCGTCTCTTTGGGGATTTACGTTACTGTTCCTGGAAGGAGATGTGAGCGGTTTTCATGTTTGTAATCCAAACTGCAGGCACCAGAATAACAAAAGTGAACATATTTTGCAGACAGGTTTTGACATTTTAATTTAATTCGGGCGTTAATAAACTGTTACAGAGAAGTGATCATAGTGATCTTCATCAGCAGTGCTGTCTGTCTCCTGCCAGCTCCCAGATCAGCTTCTCTGATTGGTTGATGTGGTGCGTCGAGTAGCAAAAGTTCAATTTTTCCAACTCCAGCAGCTGCTGCTTGTAAAGCATGTCACGTGCATCAGATGTTCAGAAGCTCATGAGGCTCTGCTTCAAAGCGTCAAGATGTGCTGCTCCTGCTGCTTGAAATGCGCTGCAAGACCTTTTGATGCGCCTTGATGCTCGTCAACCATTGACTTTGCGTGTAAACCAGCTCCTTCTGCTGCTTCAGCCTCGTGTGGTCTGAACATAGCATAAATGACTGTATAGTTTTTACTTGGAAGCAGTTCTCTGTTTTATTAGACAACATCATTATACAACAATGCAATTATAAATGACATTTTCTTGTTTTTTTTGCTGACAGAACTATCAGTCACTACACCTGCAGCTGGCAGGTCGGTATTCTGGGGACACTGGTTTAATTAGTTGTTATATTGTCAAAACAAAGAAGAGTCAGAGATTAAGAAACTATTGAAATAACATCTGGAACAGAAACTGGATAAAGAGTTCAAAATAAAGTTCAACAACTCGCTGCTTGAAACTCCTCTAACAGACAGAGAGTTGCTTTCATTTCACTCGATGGCAGCTTATTGGCTTTGTTATTACACTTAATGTGGAATGTTGAGTTTGTTTCACCATTAACATTTTTATGTTTATGTATGAGAGAGATGGAGAGTCCAATGTCGGATCGGCAGGCAGTCTGGAGATGTACAGTCCGCGTATATGTGTGTGTATAAAAAGGAGATTTTGGAGACTCATTAGTTGATGGCAAACACATATTAAGCATTTGCATCATATCTTTCTCCCACTAGTAGATTTCATTAACTGTTCTCAGTTCAAAAGATTTTTGTTTTCTTTTTTTTGTTTTTTTATTCTTATTTTTACTTCTGTAACAGTGCAACCTCAGTATTTACAGCTCTTTTGATTTATATCCACTGCTTCGCTTTTACTGGTCCTTTGATTCTGCTGCTCAGTTAGCAGAATTTTGATCTCCAAAACCATAAAGTCTTTCCTCTTCATCTTAATTGCAGTTCTATGAATGAACACTTGACAAGCATGTGAAGTTGTAGCATTTCTACTTAGATGTATCCTTACATGGGATTATTAGGGAGGTAATTATGCGGATTTACATTTCTCAAGAACAAAGGCTCATTTTCGGGAGGACTGCATTAAGTTTATTAGGATAATTGATCCTTTAATCAGTTTAAGAATGTTTGTTGAATTTGATATGGAGTGTTTGTAAAAGCCCATGGTCGGAGAACAAGTAAGAGAAATTTACATTAAGAATACGAACATTTTGTCACATGACACCCAGAAGATGTTCATACAGCACTATATGCATGTAGTGCTATTGCAGGCAAGCAGGTAGAGATTCAACTGTTAAGAATTTAAACTGGCTCTGGCAATGACAGTGAAGTGGTGAGTAAAACGGTTAGCTTAATAAGTTTACTTAGTTATTCCCTTGTCAGATGTTTAACTATTAATGTTAATCTGTTCAACTGATCTGACACCACCTGTAAATCACTCTTAGATGCTTTTCAGCAAATGACCAAACAGCAATCTCGATGTATCCCTAAGTGAAACAACCCTCACCTGCAGGGGTGCAAGTATACAATGTTACATTAGAAAGGCATGGCAGACATGGGAGCTTCGGATTAAAAAAATATGTAACAAAAGGCTCAATGTGTGAGGAACACGCAATTCATAGATACATTATCAGAAGTATCTAGAGAATGAAAAACAGTTAATTATATTTCCAAGACCAAAAAGGAGTCTTGGAAAATGGAAAAGATTAAAACAATCCTGTTAGTAACAGAATCAACAGCTCAACACAACATTTGAATAAATAAACAGAAGCTATGAGTCTGTTCAAAGCTTGAAACAATTGTTTGTTGTTGTTTCGCTTGGAAAAGCTTGCATTACTTCATTAATTACAAACATATGCAGTACTGTGCTCAATTGGTCCTAGATACACTGCTTGATTATATATGTGATTAAAAACTGGCTTTATTTTCATCTCCTCTCTTTTATATAACACATTTTCACTTATCCACTTTTGTAAATGTAAAAGTCTTCAGACATAACTTCACGCACAGGCAACATGACTGTGTCCATTTCTATTCCTCCAGTCTGATGTGTTCTCTTTGCATTAATGTTTGATGATCAGACAAAAAGCATCATTAAATTCTTCTGGAAACATTGTGCTTCTGTGATTAGCCGTTAAAAAAAAAACCTATATTTTTCTGCCCTTCGCTTAAACTAGTTTGCATTTTTTGCATACAGTAGTTGGGGCAATCCAGGAGTCACGATACTTGTGATACTACTATCATAACATAGCAAACTAACCAACTAGGCAAGCACTTTTAGATGATCAAACCTCAATGGAAAACCAAAACAACTATAGATGTTGCCTTGCTCATTGACATTTATAAATAAGCAAATTCTAATAGCAAAAAACAATATCGATATAGCGAATAAAGATTCTCTATATGGTTCGTGCATACAGTGCTGGGTCAACATCTTCATGTGACTGGCTTATAAGTAAATCACCTCCCTCTTGGAGTAAGTTCTGGTAATTGAACAATCTGATTGATTTCTAATATGGTTCCATAACAAAAACAATAAAAAATATTTTTGTGTGGTAAAAGCTAGTAGAGTATCCTAAATTTACACAGAAATGCAGTAAAGTTCATAGATAAAAAGTGGTTTGAAAATCAAAAAATATTTTTCCATTCATCAGAGATAAATGTATGAATCTTTTCCTAAGCATGAGGAATTTTGATCAGCATCTTTAACCTCTTACACCCTAAGGGGGTATAAATAAATTTCTGCCTGACAAAAACACACAAAAGTAAATAACTTATAGCCTCAAAGCTATTAGATTTAAGAAGAAACTTTTGGTACGTCTGTAAAGGTAATATGTCATAGAATGGTTTTCTGGTGTCAGCACCATTGTAGCTTTGACCCTGCCTGAACTATTAGGGACAAAATACAAAATATTTTGCATTTTTTGAACCTCGCCAAAATTTTCTTTAAAATAAACATTGCAAAACACTACCAAAATATTATTTATAGCACAAAAAAGTAGTACAGACTTTCAAATCTAAATGTTGTGTAAAAATATACCAAATTTGGACTCAGTCAGATGAATCATATTTATTTTAGAATGGTATTAGTGAGAAATTTCTTAGGCGGAGGGGCCAGTTTGGCACATTTATCCATAAATGTCACCAAACTGTGCCAAATATGTTTTTTACATCAATACTGGGGGTTTGGTAAAACTACGAGGTCATGTAGCAGCTGGACCCGCCGGTGGGTCCGTAGGGTTCAAGGTGTTAAACCCAAGTGGACATGTGTAGATCTTGTTTTCAAGTGTAAATCTACTGTGTAAGTGTGAATAACACGTATTTGTGAATGCTAAGGCTCTTTTATCTCCATATGGATAGGAGGTTGGGGGG